CCGACGGACCATATGATCTCTCTGCGTTGGTGAGGGTGCGGCTGAGAAAAGCTATAGGTTGCATCGCTGTTGAGGAAATAGCTTGGCCAGGCTTCCATTCGTAACCTTCTTTAAGGTGGAAGTAGGTACAGGCAAATCCTCGTTGCAAGGACCCGTCAACTTGACAGAACAGTTGCCTGCTTGGGTCCATATGGTGGATCATCCTGCCGGAGGCTACTTCCTTTTGGATAGCTTCAAATGCCAACCGCTCCTTTTCACTAGGCTCGAATTTGGTGTTCCTCGCAAAGGCACGGCGTTTGTTGATGTTACCTTGCTGAATTTTGCCAATTTCTCGTCCTTGGGCTAGTAATTGAGTTTTCCGGTGCTGCAATGGCTCAATGAGGGCTCCATAATACGGTAAGAGATGCCGTAGGTAGCCTGTTGCTCCAATGTAGCTTTCAACGCAGATAGCTGGTCTGGAAATTCCAGCTTTGCAAAGGCTGCCAGCCTGTGTTCCGTTGTGCTCATTCAAAGGCATCAACGCGGAAGCCAGGAGCTGCACAGAGGATACCCAATCCAGCTTTTCTTTGGCGACATCGTGAGGTTAAAACGCTCGAATAGCTGGAAGATTTTGCTAAGGTGCTGTAAGTGCTCTTTTTCCGTTTTCGAATAGATCACAACGTCGTCAATAAACGCTCTGCAAAACCCCTTATATGGTCGAAGCACTCGATCCATATAGCGCTGGGCGTAGGCCGGGCTATTGCAGAAGCCAATTGGTGCAACAGTCAGTCTTTCCAGTCCTCTATGGCTCGTGAGGTAAAACGATCACGATGTTCGAGTTTGACTCGGAATTGGTGGTAAAGGACGATGCGTCGATTGCTGTGATGTACTGTGCGCCTCGAAGCTCTTGGATGATGTCTTCTTGCAATGGCAAGGGATAGCTGTCTGGCATGGTGACCTTATTAAGAGCTCGCAAATCGATGACGACCCTGCCCTTGGTTTCTCCTCGGGCTGTTCGCCACACAACGAAGACGGGGCTGCAAAGGGGTTGGCCGTGCACGTATTCCATGCGTCCTTGTGCGTGGAGCTTGTCATGGGTTTCATCAATGACCTGTTTGTCTCGTAATCCCTGAGGATAGGGGCGTTGAGCCACCTTGTGCGTGTGCCAATCCTTGATAAGGGGAACTGTGAGCTCGTGGCCTGCTTCGACTTGAGCTGTGCCCGAGTCTTTCCATAGTTTGGCGTGTTTTTCAACGAGGGCTTTGATCTTGGTCACGAAGCTGCCTTTTTGCGCATAGATGTGAATTCCGTCGTCAGTGCACACCTCTGGGAGCTCTGGCGTGCGTTGAACGTGCGTTTGATACGGAATTCGGGTCTCGGGGGCAAGGTCAGGAGTATCGGCTGTTGCTGCTGCACTAAGCTGGGTGCTTGTGACGTTGAGCTCCTTTCTTGTTGTTGACCAAGGCTGGCTGTCGTTGCTGGCTGCTGTTGTGTACGCGTACACAGCTTCTGATAAGCTTGAAATTGATTCTGCGGTTGCTGCTAGAACAGGGGCTTCCTCCGGGGTGAAGGTCCCGTCAGCTATTGCGATAACATCGTCTGAGAGGTGGAAGGTGCTGTTGATAGCAAGATCATACGATGCATGGCTCTGGGGAGCACTTTCAATCGTCATTGCAGAAGTTGCTGGGGCCAAGGCCGCTGTTGGAGCTGCTCTTGCCGCTGTGGCCATTGTCAAAGCTGTCAGAGCTGATTTCCATGAGGCTGCAGCGAAGTAGCCCGATTCCTCGCATTCTCTGATCTGCCCTAGGCGCTGTTTGCGGTTCACGATGATATCTTGGTTCGTAGTGTTCGTGAACATGACCGCCGGGACAGTGTTTCGGTCAACGAGAGCATGAGCGGCCAAGGGATGATTGGAATGAAAAGCGAAGGAACGGCCTTTAGGACTTCCTTCCAGCTAGCTGGGACTAGCATTGTCTTGCCTGCCGGGACCACGGTTTTCTGACGGCCTGAACGCGTCGGACTACCCCTTTATGAGGCTTATAGATGTTAAAAGGGATACCGAAGTCGTCGAGGAGGCCTATTTGAACGACTTCCTTGTCGTAGTGGATGTTTCAACATACGGCTTGAGGAAGGCATTGCCTAGCAAGGCTCCTGGTTCCACGGTAGTCACCCAAGCGGAACTGGTGAATTTAGCTATGCCGGCGCTGCTGCCGTCAGCCCTCTTTCCTTCTGCATAGAAGGAGAACGTGGCCCAGTCTGTGCAGCGGACACTGCCGCTGATGCCTGCAATTGGCGTTGGAGGCTTCTTCTCAATGGTGTGATCGAAGCTCTTGAGAAGCTTTCTGTCAATCAGGGGGTTGCCACATCCGGAATCCGCACAGACCTCGGTCTCTGGTCCTGTGGGAGCTGCCTTGATCTTGATGCGAAGATATGAGTAGCCGAAAGGGGCATTGTGCGATGGCGGCTCGAGCGGCTGTGGCTCGAGGATTTCCTGCGATAGCGCTCGCGACTGTTCCCAAAGATACTGGGCTTTCTGGGAGGAATTGGATTGTGCTGCTCTACGGCTTTATATGCCTCTCCATTTGCGTGGGCCTTGGGCTGTGACACGCAACCAGGAAGGTGCCTGAAGAGTGCATTGCGTGAGGGAAATCGGGCGTAGCATTTCCCACACAACGAAGGGTCGCCTCCTGCTGGAGCTGTTGAGCTGGTGAGGAACGAACGCGAAATAAGTGGGGTGTGGCACGGGTAGGTGGTGTGGCCCACTAGGTGGTGTTATGGACAAGGTACCAACGATAGCGCAGTGTTCTCACTGGCTAGGAATCTTGTAAGTGACCCGCTTGCTCCCTTCGCGCACTTAAAGGGATACGACTGCACGTGCCGCCTTCATTAGGGGCTCCGATGCGACAATTATGTTACTAGCAAATTAGGCTATGATAGAAGTCCTAGCAGTCTGGCCGGGTACAAATACTGCCCGCGGCTGATGGCGTATCTGACATGTAGCTACGTACTGTGGGCCCCGTGACCTGCTTGCTCCCTTAGCACACCCAAAGGGATGCACATTTTGCGGGGTCGGCGCTAGTTGCCGGGCGGTGAGCGCGTTCTGCCCGCTCACCAAGAATAGGGGTGCCCCAAGCTCATTTCACCCTTGCAGGACATGGCCGTGGCGCATGCAAGTAAGTAGCCAAGTTCCGCTCGGTCTATCGAAACTGCAACTCGCCTCTGAACTCCTATGCCTCTGTCGGCTGGGAAAGCAAGAAAGCACCAGTTTGGCTGTTGATTTGGCTGTTCATTGACGAACCAAGAGCAGAGAGGCCACTTCGCCGTCGGACCCCTTCGCCTTTGTCCAGCCGCGCGCAATGAAGTACAGCAAGCCGCAGGTTGCGCCGACGGTGCCCAAGTCTTCATCAGCAGCTTCCGCTGCCGGCGGCCACGAGCCGGCGGCCGCGACGGCGCCATCGCCTGCCGCAGGCGTTCGAGAGTCGTCCTTGCCCGCAGGAGCGGGAGCGGACGCCACCGCAGCAGCTACTGTCGGCGACAAGTCATCGCGGCAGGCTGTCTCTCACTACCCCAAGCGCAAGCGCGCCTGCCTGTATAACGACCTGAGCGAGAGCAAGATGGAGATTTCTCAGCCAGCGTCCACTCAGCTCATGGCCGTTCATCAAACCCGCTTTCCCACCAACCCTCTGCCGGGCACTCGCCCGACACGAATCCTTCTAGGATACTGGAAGCAATCTAGCGAGCCTGATTCAAGGGGTCGACATGCCGTGTATGGAGTACTTGGCCACGACGACAAGTTCCGAGTCAAGGTGGTACGAGAGACGAGAGACGGCCGCTTCGTGGATGGAAACTTCCCCTCGGGAGCTGGGGCTCTGTGGATTCCATACGAGGAGGTAGTCTTTGAGAACCACCTCAAGGCTCTCAACAAACAGGAAGTCAAGGAGTACTGCCGCATTCGGCAGAACCAGCTGGATCACGGCGAAATCGGTAGGAAGCGGATCGAAAACGAAACAAAGGCCGTTTATGAGGCCAAGACCCGAGCCAGAACTCCCATTAAACAGACCGGTGTCGCTATGCCGACTTTCAGCATCACCCGTTCTGCCAACGTGGACAGGGATCGGGCCAGCCCGAGAACAAGCTATGGCGGCGGCGAGCCTGGCCAGTCACGGCGAATCGATCTGCGAGCGGACGGATGGACGCCGCGCCAATTGCTCAACGAGAACGAGCTGAGCTCGTCTCAGCTTCGTCAGAGGCTCAACGTCATAGGACGCACCAGCACCTTAGCGCGTCGTGAGCTAGCCAGAGCTGAGGCCGCCCAGGATCGCGCCGACCGCCTTGCCCTAACCCGAGAACGTGCTTTCTCCGCCGCGGCTAACAATGCTGTCGCGACAGCGGCTCCCGCTTCAGCCATCAACGGACGGACACTTATTCACGAATCAGAGGATACGCAACACGTCAACAAGGTCTGGGCTCGCAAGGAGTCGTTTCGCATGATAGCCTATGCCGAGGACGCCAAGATGTACGACGACGTCAAGTATGAGCGGAAGTCGACCGGGCCATTTACGGGAAAGTTCGTGTCGCAGGGCACCATCATTCATATTGATGGCGAGGACTATGTCGAGTATCGTGTTCTGACCAAGCCATTCTGACGATGTGGCTAACAGACAGACCGACCGGCCAGAGCAGTCTGTCGGTTTGGGTAGTCTGAGATGATCTGACGATTGGTGTTCCTGTGATGGCATTGATCCGTTCCACCTTTTAGGTAGTACCTCATGCCTCGCTGGCCCCGAAAGCTCGCTATGACTTGACCAGAGTCATGGCAGGGTCTGCGGACCTCATGAGAGTGCCGTGCCGGCTGAGATTGATGATGAGAAACACCCCGGGCTCTTTCTGCATCTGGACGGCGAACCGCTTAGAACTGATTCCTCGGAGGCTATTCTCGTCGAGCAGGAGATCACAGGCGAGACGATTACTGCCAAGGACCTAGCTAAAGATGAGCATCCTTTGGCCTAGAGCCGGTAATGATGCGGAGGAGATCCCGGCAGACAGACCCGAAGGACCTTGTCGGTGCTGAAGCTCAGCGACAAATCGATCTCTTTGTCAGGCGAAAGAATGGGCAGCCGCCAGACGCCGCGCACGACTGGGGAGATGTTGGCGTGATCGGTGAACTCGAGGCGTCCAGCAACAACAAGAAGGCGACGCTTCTCCTGCTCGGCCGATACGTGCGGGATATTTTCTCCTGCCGACCAACACGCTGGTACGTTCATGCGTTTACAATCTGCGGGCGCGAAATGGAGATCTCAGATTTGGGTTTTTGACCGCTCGGGGTGTTACAGTCCTGGCGCGTTCGATATCCATGAGAAACCCGAACGGTTCTTACATGTGATCGCCGGCTACACAATGATGAATGATGGGGAACTGGGCTTGGACACATTTACAGAGCTGGATGGCGTCAGTCGCTTGATACGCATTGAACAGGACGAAGCCTCAAGTAGGACGAGGCTGCGGCTGGAATCGCAGCCTTTCACCCGTCAACGGGCAGTCGTCTGCCGTGGGACATCTTGCTATCCCACGAAGCCTTCGGACTCCGAGAATTGGAGTTATGTAGCGAAGTTTTCGTGGACGTCCGACCGGCGAAAGCCAGAGGCAGATCTTCTGAGATTGGCCCGCCAGAGAAGTCGAGGGCATTGCTGAGTTGATAAGCGATCGCCGCACAATCAGCATCGATGAAATGCGATCAGGCCTGAAATTCACGAGACCTTGCTCCTTTCGAAGTCTTGCAAGCACTGCGTCGAATTTTCCGCATTCTTTCTCCCGGTCTCAGCCTCCCAATGCCCTTTCTCGGTCATTCAGCAAGCTTCATGGCTTGAGCATCGATGACAAGCCGTTAAGGAAGCGAAACTTGGAGGTCGGTTGATGTCGGCCGGAAATCCTCTAAGCGATCAAGATCCAACAGCCAAAGGTCGAGCCAAGAGCAGGACGAGGTTACGTACGATGTTAAGGAAGATCAGGGGACGAGGCTGCTCGCTCCTAACAACGGACCTTATGATAATCGAGGCTTTCGATATCTAGTGATCTCCCCGGCAGGCCGACCGATCCACAAGTACGTAAAGATCTCGGAGCTCCTGGAGGCCCTTCGCGACGCGATGAAGGCACATAAGCCCCTATACCTCAAAGTCAACATCCTACACCGGGACATTTCCGAGAACAACATCATCATAACCGACTGCAAAGCAACTGGCCTCATGGGCATGCTGATCGACTTGGACCTTGCCAAGGAGCTGGGCAGCGGGCGCAGCGGGGCGCGATGTCGCACTGGCACGATGGAGTTCATGGCTATCGAGGTGCTGCGCGGGATCTCACACGCCTACCGACACGATTTGGAGTCGTTCTTTTATGTGCTCCTGTCACACACAGGATATCAGCCTCCAACAGGCTGACCCCTACCATCTACACTATGCCAAATACCCACACCAGCCATCAACATTATGCACACGTTGTAGGCCCCTACACTACATGATCAGATGCTTCTAGCATCTCCCAACCACTCCTTTATATCATCTATAAAGATGTTGCTCCTTTTCCTTCTAGATAGCTAAATCAAGAGTTCTTCCACTTCCTGATCTTCATGCTTGCTGCTGCTCTACACCTCGTGCGATAGCTCTGGCTGTGTGGTCGCCGTGGCTGGGAACTTGTGAACAGGGCAAGAGATCATCTTACAGACAACATGTTCACCGATTGGTACAATGGCAGCTTCCGGAAGATCGCGAGCGCCAAACGAGGGCATATGGATGCGAATGGATTTGAAGAAATCCTGGAGTTTCCCCAACCGGAGTTCGACTGTGTCAAGCCCTTTCGCAGAGAGTTGCGGAGCATCCTGTTTCCTTACAGTGACGGGCTTTTCATCGGGACACCAAAGGATCCAGAAGTTCTCTATGGGGCAACCATCGAAGCGTTTGACAAGGCTATTGATGACAATAACGCTATGGAAAGATAAGTTTGGGGTGTCCGCTGCTCAATCAGGTAGTGCTCATCATGTCTCTGTATCTATGTGCCATCGCAAGCCTGCGACGTGATCATACGTGGCTGCCCTGGCACTCGCAGCGGGCGACCCCATTTGGCTTGTTCTACTCAGGTGGGATCACTCCGCGCTGGATTTTGGCTTGTACAAGTTGCGTCAACGGTGCCACTCTTGGCCTTTATGATCGGTCGGCTCCTTTCTGGCCGGCGAATCGCACCTCAACATATTATGCTGCAGCAGCGCATCATTCATCCAGGCCACTTGATGTTTTCCCTCGCCCAAACCCTGTGGGCGTCAATATACTACTATTGGAAGAGACTCGTAGTCTCTAGAAGGTTCTATGATCATGTCGACGTTTGTCAGCTATGTCTATATAAGACCTAGCCTTCCACTCCTTCTGTAGCTAGGGATATCATATCAACAGATCATTCATTTCGTCTTTCCTAGTCTACGGGTGTGGACAACAGGTTATGACCCCTCGCGCTTCTACGATTCTACATAGGCTCTGAACGTGTGTTTCGGAACCAAACTTGGTCCACGGCAAGATGTCGCCTGGACATTTTCGCACCTCATACTGAGGCGATCTGAAGTTTTACTCAAGTCAAAATGACTGAATCTTCTTTACAACTTCCGAAAGTCCCTCTTCTCAAGGGAGAGTCGAACCTTGAAGAATGTAAGGACATCCTGTGGACCCTACAGAACGAGGACAATGGAAACGTGACCGGGCCAAGGCAGTGTTGCTAATAATATGACAATAAAGTAGTATACTGCAGTATATACAATACAATACGCGATTTCTCATATTGTACCAATACAATATGCTCGCCGTCATATTGTGACGATACAATATAGCGCCTTCCATACTGGCAATATATGGCTTGTATTGTTTGTATTGGTTGGTGGTCATTCGCCTTTCCGTTCCCCAATTCGCGCCAATATGATGACGCGTCAAAAAACACGCGTAAATATAAGCATGTTCTATGTATTGTTTTTCGTCTGGCGGACCTCCAGGACGTAAAAGTTTCCTATTGGCGCACGGAAACGCGTAAATGTGTGTGTGTGTGTTGTATTTTTCGTCCAGCGGCCTTTAGGCCGCTCAGGTCCCCGAGACGGGGCACAGGACGTGCTGAGCTAGACTATCTAGAATTCCTGCCACCGAAAGGCCACCCACCAGGGCCCCCGCGGCCAGTCCTCCCAGATGTCCATCCAGCATTTCATAGGCTCTAAAACGCGTAAATGTATGTATAAATCCAGACCTACAGGGTAGCGGCTCGCCGTCCAAACACTGTTTTCCTCCTCAACCCCGCTTTCCCACCCCAGGACTTACAAGCAATCTCGATGCCTCAACAACGCCTGCCTTTTGTTCAAACATCGCCGCGACGGGATTCGTCAATATCAGACGAATACTCGGAGATTTCCAGCCCACGGTTGCATGATCCAGATGAGACCCAAACCACTGAATGCCAATCGTCGCAACCTCGCACGGCCTCCATAAACCCTTCGGCCAAGCCAAGAACATCATGGGTCTTTTCTCATATGCCAGACGAGGACATAGAGACGAAATACTACAATCAGCGGACCGGAAAAGAAGAATGGCGCTGCAAACACTGTGACAAAACGTATTGCTGTTCCGGTGGAACTGCGGCCCCAGCCAAGCACCTTACGGATCCTCCTCCTGACGGTCACGGCCTCCCAAAGGCGCGCCACGAACAGCCAAAGTCACGAATATACGAACTATTCTCGAGATAGCTCGTGTTACGGCCAAAGAACATCCCCGAAAACGCCGTCGGCTCAACGATCAATCCGGAGACTCGATCGACCCAGACCAGCTCGAAGCTTTATACGTAAGGTTTATTACGTCCTGTTCTCTCCCATTTAGGCTTGTGGAATGCCCAGAATTCCGAGCATTCTTAGCCTACCTCAACGCCGATATCGATACTTGGCTTCCAGATACACACGAGACCATCAAGAAATGGATTATGCGGCAGTACGAAGGTCAGAAGGAGAAGGTCAAGCAGCGCATCCAGTCAGCAAAGTCAAAAATTCATATCAGCTGCGACCTATGGACTTCCCCCAACTCTTTGGCCATCTTAGGCGTAGTTGCTCATTACGTTGCAGAAGACAGTCAGTTGGAACACCATGTCTTGGCTTTGAAAGACATCGACAGTGAGCACGACGGATATCACCTGGCAAGGGCAATTTTGGAAGTGGTTGATGACTGGGGTTTGCTTCCAACCTTGGATATTTTGTGATGGACAATGCAGGCAATAACGATACAATGATGAGATCTCTTTCCTTGGTAAGTACGGCGCACTGTTTTTTCTGACTGGCCCTAACATTTACAGGCCTTCTACGTCGATATGACATTCGATACGATCCCAAATCTCACCGACTCCGCTGCCAAGGTCACATTATCAACCTTGCCGCCAAAGCTTTCCTCTTCGTTACCGATAATGAGAAGCTCAAAGACGACGAACGTGATGGGCATAATGTGACACTAAAAGAGATCGAGGCGTGGCGGAAAAGGGTCCCCTTGGCAAGCTCCACAACTTCGTGGTTTTCGTCCAAAGTAGTGTTCAGCGTCGCCAAAAGTTTCTGGCCATCAGCCATAATCGCAAGCTTGCGTGAGATAATGACACGAGGTGGAGTTCGTGGTACACCATGCTACGAGCGGCCTTGCATCTTAGAGGCGCAGTCGAGGATATTTCAACAAATGGGTGGAAGGAGATTGTGCCGGAGACGAGCTCTCTCTAGGGGGCTGGGTCATCCTCGAGAAGATCAAGTCTTTCTTGGAGAAGCTTAAAATGACGACAAAGGCCCTTGAGTCATCGTTTGCAACTCTTGACAATGTTCTCTTGGCTATGGACTTCGTATTGGCGCAATTCGAAGCAGGAAAAGAGGCACATATCGACGATCCGATTATGGCACCAATGTATAACTCGGGCTGGGCGAAGATGGATAAGTACTATTGTCTTACTGACGAATCGCCTGCCTACGTCGCTGCGATTGTGCTTCACCCTTCGCATAAATGGCACTACATACACGAAAACTGGAAGAAGGAGTGGGCTGACTCGTCAAAGAAGCTGATGGAGACACTGTGGGATGATTATAAACCTGTGGAGCCGCCTTCTCTATCTGAGGTTCCGTTGACGACCACGAACGAGTTCTTGAATTGGAGAAACAAGCACCTACAACCAGCACTTATCACAGACGAGTACGAGCGATATTGTAAGTCTGAACGGGTTTATGGGTTCACAAGCGCCCTCGCATGGTGGCTGGAGGAAACACAGCAAAAGAACTACCCATACCTGAGCAAAATGGCGGTGGATATACTGTCAATTCCGCAATGTCTGCTGAGCCCCAAAGACTCTTTTCTTGGGGCAAAATAACCATCACAGACCGTCGAAATCGACTTGGGAGTGATGTAATTCAGGCATTGGAGTGCTTGAAGTCATGGTTTGGGATACAGGATTTTCAAGGTGACGATATTTCAGCAACGACGGTTGAATAATGAGGGTCACGTGGGATATACGGGATATATTGTTTTACTGGCAATATATTGGGTCACTGGCAATACAATACAATATGGACCAATGCCATATTGCGCAATACAATACGCACCTCTTGACAATACAATAATATTGCGAGGGGTCCATATTGCCAATATACGTATTGTTTATATTATTAGCAACACTGGGCCAAGGTCATGCTAATCATCAAGGGGTCTATTTCGCCAGTCCAGAATACCCTTGAAGCAGCTGGATGGAGCCGATTCACGGAAAAGGATGCAAAAGCTCTCTACGAACTTATCCAACGAGCCATCCCGAAGGTCTCTGCGGATGCAACCGGAGTCTTGTGGCCAAGTTTGGCAGCATTAATCGCAAGACTTTTGACAGCCTGATGGCCTACCAGACCCGCATTCAGTATCTCAAGCTCCGAACAAAGGAGTTGAACTGCGGTTTTGACGACAAAGCCTGTTTATGGTTCACCATCAAAGGGCTTCGTGAAGTGTACCCCCAATGGTATACCTTCCTTGAGCGAGACATGAACAAAGGCACTTTGACATGGAAGAGTCTCATGACAGAGATGTATGCTGAAGCCAACAAAGAAAGGACCGCCATGGCCCTTCCCTCCAGCGCTGACCCCAATTCAAGTATCAAGTCAAGCATATCAAGTAAGTCAAGTAAGTTGACCATCCAATGTATTTCAAGTAAGTAAGTTTATTTCGCCTCAAACTTGATATAATTATAGAGAGGACACTGAGGATGACCCTGTGGCCAATTTTGACAAGATGGAAGAAGAGGTAGACGAGGAAGAATGTATACAGCAAGAATTGGCTGACGAGGGCCTCTCATAGCCACTAGCAGTGCCCGTAACTTAAAATTGAAAGAGGTGCGGTTCTTTTGCAACATCAATTGTGCGCGCCGAGATTGTATGTCAGGAGCGCGCGCAAAATTGGTAGGGGCGCGCTCTACCGCGATCAGCCACAGTCCCCGCTTTTTTGGTGGATGGATAGTAGAAAGTGGTGGATTGATAACTACCCCCCAACAATAGGCGATAAATAATCCAGACGCAGTTACGCCTTAAATACCACCAGCACCATGTTACACCAACGGCGGAAATGAGGCCATAGAGGATGGCGCATGACAGTGTGTCTTTGGATATTCTGCTTCTTTTTCTTGTCGGAGCAGCATGGCACCAAGGAATACACCTTCCATCCTGCGCTACCGACGATGAGCATCTGCAGGTGGAACATGACTTCCGACATGAGCCGGAACATTAACAACTCAAGTTCTCGCGCAGAAGCCCCGAGATCCCCTCGAACCTGAACCGGTTAGCTTCAGACTGGTTTCTGGCAAAGAAAAGCTGTGCAGGTGATCCCATCCTCTGAGAAGCTGGAGCGGGATTGCTTCGTTCGAGACCAAAGGGCGTGTTGCTATCCAGAGGAGCTTCTCAATCGATTCTAAAATGCGATGTGCATCCATGAACATGCCACCCACCATGCGTGAGCCTGCCAACGTGAGTGCAGCGTGAGGGACTATCCGCGCGGAGGGCATGATAAGCGTATCACCCGGTTCCAATACAATAGCGACAACGTTATCGGGAACCCAGTCGTCGCCTTCATCTGCGAATTTGACCATGTCGGATTCGTCCGTGCTTGTAGCGAAGATCCAAAGCTTTAAGCCCCACTCTTTACCATACCCATGTTCCATCTGGGCTATCGACATGGAATCCGGTAAAAGAATCTCGCTGGGCAAACAGCGAAAAGGTTAAGGAGCGGTCCAGGTCGACATATCTGGCTCCGACCATTGTGGCGTGGCCCCGTTTCCCGGCGATCGCTTGTCCAGTAAATCCTGCCTCTAGGCGTGAACTGATTGCCGGGAGGACACCGAACCGAGGCAGGTTGAGGAAGGCAGGGGCCGGCGGAGCTTGTCCAGAATATTTCAAGTTCAGTGGGTTTATTGGAAGTCGTCTGGCGTGAATGTCCGTCCCTTCTTTGATTCGCTTGATGACTGCGTCGACAGGCATGGGAACAGGGCTTTTGTCTGTAGTACTTGGGTCCTGGAAGTCCACGGTGCCACCTCCAAAATGATCGCCTAGAATCTCTAAGAACTGGTCGAGTCCCTGGCCCCATCTTCTCATTTGATGTGATCTCACCACCGTGGGTTTGCGCAAAATGAAGATTTGGTTCATGAGGCTCCCCATACCTTCCTCTGTAGCGTACCAAACCTCCGCGTTGTCGGCCATCGTTGATATGTGTCCGATTCGCGCGATCGGTATGTCGCGATCAGAGGGAAAGATTCGGTTAAGAAGTGCCAGGCTATTGTCCCACCTTGTATTGCTGGATCGAGAATCTTCCATGATCAGGCGTTCTCGAAGCAGATTTTGAATGAGAGAACCATACTTAGTGCGCATTCTGGCAGTGTCAATGCTCTCGCACGGCATTATAGGCTCGCCTTTCCTCTGCGTCGATGTTTCTGCACCAGCCCTCGCTGCTCAGAGCATGATGAATACGACCGCTGGCTGTCCAGCTCAGATTCGGAGAACGATCCCCTGCTTGCCGACCCTTTCCAAAATTGGTGGGCGAGGCGCACGGAGCATCCGCGGCTGTCACGCATGACTCTTGACTTGCTATTGATAGCTCCTATGCCGGCAGAGTGCGAACGTTTTTGGAGCGCACTCCTTCAGATCGTTGAAGGACAAAAGCTGCCGCTGTGAGGCGTGCAGTTATTGCACGGAGGCACGCCTAGTCCTGTTGTGAAGCCGGGGCGTGTTGCGGCATTGCGTGAATGGCCTAACTCTGTATGATAAAAGAGTATATGGACATTTAGCCAAAGCCAAATGCCAATTTCTGGACGTCGTCACGTGGTGTCTCTCGCTACGGTGTCCTCCGGTTCCCGAGGAGCAGATCAGATCATCGGGGTATGGTCAGATGCAGTTTCCCTAGGCCCGCTTCGCCCAAAACTGGACAAGGAAGATCGTCACGCGGGGCTGGTAGACAGATAAGATAGCACGGGTGCTGCTTCGTCCAATTCTTCGCGTGGACAGCGTCGTCCGGTTCCTGACATGGCAGATCGCTGATGTGGAGCTTGTGCGATGCAGTGGCAGGGGCGTACACCGTCCAATTCTCGGCGTGAATATCACTGTGACAGAAGCGTGCGTTGTCCCGTTCTTCGTGTGGACATTGAGCCGCAGCTGAATGTCGGTTTCTTGACGCCGTTTGGTGGCATCTCTCGCTACTGACGTGCCGATCACTGATGTGGAGCTTGTAAGCGGATGCATTGACAGGGGCCCGCTTCGTCCGATTCTTGACATGCAGATCACCGTTGTGGGAATACAGTGGCAGGGGCGTGCGCCGTCCGATTCTTTGCTTGGCATTGGGCAGCTACAGTACATGTCGGTTTCTCGACGTCGTTACGTGGTGGCGGCGTCCAGTTCCTGCCGTGCAGATCATTGTGGAGTGACAGGGGCCCGCTTCGTCCGATTCTTGCCGTGCAGATCACTAGTGCGGGGTCAGGTGCTGGCGCGCGTCCACAGGTGTGGCCATGTGATCCAGACGAGCAGATCACGCATGCGGATGCAAGTCCAAATTGGGAACAGCCACACGTCATCAGGCCCCCTTTCCGCTCCCTGTGCCCGATTTTTAGTCTCCCTGTGCACCTTACCGTATTAGGTAGAAGCATCGCGAATCGGCCAAGACTTGCATTTGTGTGTGCAACACACCAATTACTGTAGAAGGTGGTCACGGATTGTAGAGTCTTTGCGTTGAACATTATGAATTTGAAGCTATTCGCACATTTCCTCCATATCTTCTAGCCGCATTACAAGCTCATACGGCTGCCGCATTGCGTGGCCTCTTTTCCGCCGTGGTGAGCGTTCCCCCTTTCCTCTAACTGTAGCGTTACTTATCTGCGAAGCCGGGAGCGGCATAAATCCTCCTTCCACTGATGTAAGGGTGCTAGAAAGAGGGGTCGAGGACCCAAGGGTAAAGAGACGAGGGCGCTCGCGATGCCCCCGTTGAGACCCTCCTTGACGCGGCGGCCGCGGCGGCTCGTGATATTCGAAGGCCGAGGGTAGCCGCCGCATAAGTTGGGTGGCAGACTCTGAGCGCCGGAAAGTCTGCGGTTGCTGGTATGAGGTCGGCTGTGTAGGCGTTTGACGGATCACGATGTCGGCTTGTGGTGTTGACGCTGCTTGTGGTGTTGACACCGACCACGAAGCTATAGCCGGCCCAATGCCAAGGTAGTTGCCAATAGCCTCAAGCCGCGCAAGCACTGTCTGCAAGACTGGCTGCCGCTGTTGCTGTTGCCCGCGAGGCTGTGACTGTTGCGAAGCTGGTGAGGTAGCTGCTGCTGCCGCTGCTGACGAGGCCACAGGTGCAGTTACAGCGGCTGTTGCAACGGCTGCAGTCGTGGCCACAGGTGCGAAGGCTATGGCTCTGGCTGGTCTGCGGCGCCGGGCAATGACTCGAGGATCGCGAATTCGTCTGTATGGGTCTGTGACAGCAAGATCCTGCCGTAGAAGCCAGTGGTTGTCCCACAAGTTCAAGGGCAAGGGTCTTGTAGCTATAACTTTGCGGCTAGTCCCTCCTTGGACCTGGAGGTACGAGGCGATAATATGCTTGCAGGGCAGCCCGTATTGGGCAGTGAAGCTATTCCCACATTCCCAAGTGGCCGCTCTTGTGGTTTGAGGAGGCCGGCCGAGGCGGCTAGTGCCTGTTTCTGTACAAGCTCGAGAGACGGATATGACGCCTTCTCGACGGCTTCCTCATATAATGGTAGCCGGAACAGGTCGCGAGTCCGTCGTGATTCGCGCTCAACGGTCCGATCATGGTGTTCTCGTGAGGTTGAGGCTTGTAGTTGCAAGGCATGATATAATTCAAGCAGGTTCGACTGGCCGTTGCGAAGGAAGGTGCGAGAGCTTGAGTGAAGGGATTCACAAGGCGAGGTCGTTGTGTGGCCCCAGTTGCGGTAACGGCAGACCCAAGCGCGCGCCCATTGCGTTCGTACAGGCATCCAGACCTCTTCCACATACCTAAGAATAATGTGCTGGTCTGAGAAGGCGCCTTTGACGATGCCCCAGCGGCTGTTGAACTCGTCCTCGGTCGGGGCATACACTACGGACCGGAAGGCTGTTGTGAAGGCACAGGGCCTCTTTTTCGGCAGTGGCTCCGGTAGCTGCAGAGCGCCCGGGTCTTCATCGTCTTGGGGCTCTTGCGGCGGGTCAAATGGGTCGTCATCGTCATAGTCGCCAAGCCAGCGCTTCTTCGCGTTTGTAGTGATGTTCTTCATGATATGCCACGTACAGACCTGTAGCTGTGAGTCCGGGAAGGTAGCCGTCAATGCAGCGCGCGCAGCGTCATAGTCAGTGATGATAACGTGTGGGATAAAGGCATTGCCGTCAGCCTCGCCTCTTAGCCTTGCCTTTGACTGTAACCACTCGCGAAGCTGTATAAAACACCAGGTAAATGCGTTTGTGTCTTCGGAAGGACTAAACAGAAAGCCACAGGAAGATAGAGCCCAAGGCAGTGATTCCATTGATCTCTAGCAGCTTGAGGCCATATCTATTCGTGTTGTTCGTTACGTCGGCCATCATAAGGTGTGAATGTTGTGCCCAAAGCCGCAAGGCAGGGTCAAGGCCCACAATCTGGTAGAAGAAGCGATCCTCATCGTCAAGTAGCTCTTTATGGAAGGCACCTTCCTCGTCGAGCCTGGCAATAAGCGCTTGTGTGGATGTATGTGCCCCAAGCTCCCGGAGACGAAGCCGGGCACAGATATTCGCGATGTCTTGCTCTGTTGCAAGTAGCCGCGGGCTCTTAGCCCGAAGAGCAAGAAGGATCTGCCGCGCCGTTAAGCCAGCATCGCGAGATAAGTCTTTAACCTGCTGGAGTTGATGTGGATGAAGGCGCCGGTATTCTGGGAAGGCGCCGGCCCTATTGGCCTCATGGTTGTGCCTTGGGCACATCACAGAGATCCGCCAGAGGTCTCCCTCTAGCTTCAGGCGCACAACCTTGACTCTAAACGGGCAGGAAGTCCGCCTGGTGCCAGTCTTCCGGAGTCCTAACGAGGCTGACTTGTATTCACGGCCGCCGCATGCGCATACGATGTCGTAACGGCGTGGGGCCCATGTTCGTAGTTGCTTGGCTTGAACTTAACTATGGCGTAGCCTTGGCAGCGCGCATGCCGCTGGAGCTCGTCAAACGCATCGTCAAAGGTCTCAAAGAGTGGCATATTGTTTGGCGGGGGCTGGAGAAGCATCTTGGAGAAAGAACGGGTTGATTAGCTGCTTTGTGGCGGTTGTGTGGCTCTTGGAAATTAGCTACGCAGACGCGATGTGGTATTGCGAGGTGGGTGGTTATCACGAGTTATTTTGGCTTGCGGTGTTGTACCAGGAGGCACTGCTTGCCGCGACGCCAATTGTGTGTATTATGTGTGTTACGCGTCTACGTGTGGAGTCTTGCCAAGTACGGTAAGGTGCACAGGGAGACTAAAAATCGGGCACAGGGAGCGGAAAGGGGGCCGGCCCGTTTCGGGTCTTATCAGCTAAGGGGCCAAACGCTTTCGAATTGGACCTACCACCAACGATGAAAATCCACCGGGTTATTAACGCTAGCCGACTACTTAAAGCGCCCTCGGATCCGGTACCAGGACAGACCTACGAACCGCCCCGCCGGTAGTCATACAGGGGAATCCGAGTGGGAGATCGACCAAGTCCTTGCATCCAGGATTGCCAGGGAAAGCTGCAATACCAGGTTAGTTGGAAGGGTTGGGACCCGGACCCAGATTGGTATCTAGCGAGTAACTTCAAAAACGCTCCGCTAGCCCTACAACACTTCCACAACGCCCACCCCGATAAGCCTGGCCCTCCGGGCCGCTTAGCTGCATGGATCCAAGCAGCGGCGACGGACCAAATCGCCCTAGACACACCAGATGACGACCTCCCGACTCAACGGCAAGACAACACAAAAATGAGGCGACAACGGGTAACGAAGTAGGTATGTCTCTGGGTATTGGCATTACGGCATTGGTCAGAGCTCGGGGCGAGCTCTCCGGAAGGAGGGGGTAGTGTCAGGGCCCTACCTGGGACCCCTGGGTTACCGTGACACACCTGGGGACTACTACGGAAACCGCGGACGGGCACGGCACCCGCGGACGGGCACGGGCACGGGCAGCTCCGACGGTAGGTACGGGCAGCCCCGTCATCCAGGTCCGAAGCGACAGGGAGGATATGAGGAGGTCACGGCGTTAGGAGTTATGTGGTTTTCTTTCCTCTTCATCTTAGTATTCTTTCGTTACAGAGTATCTTGCTAGCTTTGTCTGCAGTCTCCTTTCGCTCGCCGTGACATTCTACCGGGCGTTCCACGACGCCGGCACGCTACCGACCGCGACGTGCACGCTGTGCTACCGGAAGCAGGCCAGGGTGGAGCTCAGGGAGATGGCGTGGGAGGGCTGGTCGCGGAGCGGCGCGGCGCAGGGAGGCGGGCGGTCGCCGTTCGGGTGCCGAAGCTGCTTCCCCGAGGGCACGCCGGTGCCGGTATGCGCCGAGTGCGCGCGGCGGGTCGGGCGCGACGGCGCATCGGCGGCGATGCACCTCCACCGGCGGCTCGGCTGCGAGCACCTATACCCGGACGAGCTCAAGGACTTGACGCCGGTCGAGGAGAAGCTGATCGCCCTCAACTCGTGCTACGGCTTCGTGACAAAGTACAGTATTCCCGGCGGCCAGAGGCAGAGCGTGAGGTACCCGAGGCACGTCAAGGGCCACATCACAGTATTCCCAAACGACGTCCAGGGGCTCGCGACCAAGGTGCTCCAGCACCCGCTGCTCCGGGTCATGGACGAGATCCACGTCTCGTGGCAGGGCGCCGAGAGGCCCGGGCCGCGGGACCTGTCGGGCCTGCTGTCGGTGCGGCGGCGGGCGGTCGAGAGGGCGCTGGCGTGGCTCAAGGATAACAACCCGCTGTACGGCGAGGTCGAGATCGACACGGCCGAGATGGACAGCTGGGGGGAGCCGGCGCACGGGGTGCCGGCGGTTGTGCTGGAGCGGCTGGAGCGGGACGAGCCGTCGGCGCGAGAGAGAACGCAGACGGCGCACGTGGTGCCGCCGACGGAGCGGGCCCTCGACGACGAGGGCGCCGTCGAGATTGAGGAGGTGCTCGCGATGCTGAGGCAGGGCCGGGACCCCGCAGAGGGCAGAGGGGACGTCGCGCTCACACGAGAGGGCGAGGGTAGCGGCGAGAACGCAGAAGACGCTAGGCCCGAAGAGGATGGGGACATCATCAATGAGGTAACGTCGTCGAGCATGTTCCCCCTCGACGGGGCGCCCGACGTGGCGGACGCCGACAAGATCCGGTTCGCCCGCGAGGCCATCGGGCTTACAGGCCCGAGGACGTGGGTTAGTATGGCAGCCGGAGAAGCGGCGGGTGGCAGCGGCCGCGGCGGGGATAGCGAGGCCTATATACAGGTGCGGCGCGGCGAAGACTTTGCCGACTCCGCGGACGCGTCCTTCTTCGCCAAGGCCTTCCCGACCCTCTTCCCCTTCGGGCTAGGCGGCCCGAGGCTCGCCGACGAGGCCGGCGCGGGCGACGGCGCGGCCCCTAGCGCCGGCCCACGGGGCGCCGAGGCGGAGCAGGTCGCAGAGAGTCTCACATCGACGCGGAACATGAGGCTAAGAGCGTGGGCCGATATTGTGCTACGGCGCCACGGCGGCCGGTTCGCAACACACCCCATCTTCGCCTTCCTCGTCTTCAATATGAGCGTGCGGTCCAGGAACCGCCAGGCCAGTATGCTAGGCATGACGAGGAAGAACTTCCCAATGGTCGAGAGGCTGCTAAAGTCGTTAACGGCGCAGAGACTCGAGGCGGCGAGGGTCGAGCTCGAGGCCACGGGTAAGACAGGCGACGAAGGGGTGAAGGAGCTGCTACGGTCCCTATCGGTGTTTGGGCATCGGCAGCCGATGTCGAGGGAAAGCCGGCTTAGCATGCGGAAGAAGATACTTTCGCTTATCATTAGGTAGGCCCCCTTTCCGCTCCCTGTGCCCGATTTTTAGTCTCCCTGTGCACCTTACCGTATTAGGTAGAAGCATCGCGAATCGGCCAAGACATGCATTTGTGTGTGCAACACACCAATTAGAAGGTAGTCACGGATTGTAGAGTCTTGCGTTGAACATTATGAACTTGAAGCTATTCGCACATTTCCTCCATATCTTCTAGCCGCATTACAAGCTCATACGGCTGCCGCATTGCGTGGCCTCTTTTCCGCCGTGGCGAGCGTTCCCCTTTCCTCTAACTGTAGCGTTACTTATCTGCGAAGCCGGGAGCGGCATGAATCCTCCTTCCACTGATGTAAGGGTGCTAGAAAGAGGGTCGAGGACCCAAGGGTAAAGAGACGAGGGCGCTCGCGATGCCCCGTTGAGAACCTCCTTGACGCGGCGGCCGCGGCGGCTCGTGATATTCGAAGGCGGAGGGTAGCCGCCGCATAAGTTGGGTGGCAGACTCTGAGCGCCGGAAAGTCTGCGGCTGCTGGTATGAGGTCGGTTGTGTAGGCGTTTGACGGATCACGATGTCGGCTTGTGGTGTTGACACCGACCACGAAGCTATAGCCGGCCCAATGCCAAGATAGTTGCCAATAGCCTCAAGCCGCGAAAGCACTGTCTGCAAGACTGGCTGCCGCTGTTGCTGTTGCCCGCGAGGCTGTGACTGTTGCGAAGCTGGTGGGGTAGCTGCTGCTGCCGCTGCTGACGAGGCCACAGGTGCAGTTACAGCGGCTGTTGCAACGGCTGCAGTCGTGGCCACAGGTGCAAAGGCTATGGCTCTGGCTGGTCTGCGGCGCCGGGCAATGACTCGAGGATCGCGAATTCGTCTGTATGGGTCTGTGACGGCAAGATCCTGCCGTAGAAGCCAGTGGCTGTCCCACAAGTTCAAGGGCAAGGGTCTTGTAGCTATAACTTTGCGGCTAGTCCCCTTCCCTTGGACCTGGAGGTACGAGGCGATAATATGCTTGCAGGGCAGCCCGTATTGGGCAGTGAAGCTATTCCCACATTCCCCAAGTGGCCGCTCTTGTGGTTTGAGGAGGCCGGCCGAGGCGGCTAGTGCCTGTTTCTGTACAAGCTCGAGAGACCGATATGACGCCTTCTCGACGGCATCCTCATATAATGGTAGCCGGAACGGGTCGCGAGTCCGTCGTGATTCGCGCTCAACGGTCCGATCATGGTGTTCTCGTGAGGTTGAGGCTTGTAGTTGCAAGGCATGATATAATTCAAGCAGGTTCGACTGGCCGTTGCGAAGGAAGGTGCGAGCTTGAGTGAAGGGATTCACAAGGCGAGGTCGTTGTGTGGCCCCAGTTGCGGTAACGGCAGACCCAAGCGCGCGCCCATTGTGTTCGTACAGGCATCCAGATCTCTTCTACATACCTAAGAATAATGTGCTGGTCTGAGAAGGCGCCTTTGACGATGCCCCAGCGGCTGTTGAACTCGTCCTCGGTCGGGGCATACACTACGGACCGGAAGGCTGTTGTGAAGGCACAGGGCCTCTTTTTCCGGCAGTGGCTCCGGTAGCTGCAGAGCGCCCGGGGTCTTCATCGTCTTGGGGCTCTTGCGGCGGGTCAAATGGGTCATCATCGTCATAGTCGCCAAGCCAGCGCTTCTTCGCGTTTGTAGTGATGTTCTTCATGATATGCCACGTACAGACCTGTAGCTGCGAGTCCGGGAAGGTAGCCGACAATGCAGCGCGCGCAGCAGCGTCATAGTCCGTGATGATAACGTGTGGGATAAAGGCATTGCCGTCAGCCTCGCCTCTTAGCCTTGCCTTTGACTGTAACCACTCGCGAAGCTGTATAAAACACCAGGTAAATGCGTTCGTGTCTTCGGAAGGATTAAACAGAAAGCCACAGGAAGATAGAGCCCAAGGCAGTGATTCCATTGATCTCTAGCAGCTTGAGGCCATATCTATTCGTGTTGTTCGTTACGTCGGCCATCATGAGGTGTGAATGTTGTGCCCAAAGCCGCAAGGCAGGGTCAAGGCCCACAATCTGGTAGAAGAAGCGATCCTCATCGTCAAGTAGCTCTTTATGGAAGGCACCTTCCTCGTCGAGCCTGGCAATAAGCGCTTGTGTGGATGTATGTGCCCCAAGCTCCCGGAGACGAAGCCGGGCACAGATATTCGCGATGTCCTGCTCTGTTGCAAGTAGCCGCGGGTTCTTAGCCCGAAGAGCAAGAAGGATCTGCCGCGCCGTTAAGCCAGCATCGCGAGATAAATCTTTAACCTGCTGGAGTTGATGTGGATGAAGGCGCCGGTATTCTGGGAAGGCGCCGGCCCTATTGGCCTCATGGTTGTGCCTTGGGCACATCACAGAGACTCGCCAGAGGCCTCCCTCTAGCTTCAGGCGCACAACCTTGACTCTAAACGGGCAGGAAGTCCGCCTAGTGCCAGTCTTCCGGAGTCCTAACGAGGCTGACTTGTATTCACGGCCGCCGCATGCGCATACGATGTCGTAACGGCGTGGGAGCCCATGTTCGTAGTTGCTTGGCTTGAACTTAACTATGGCGTAGCCTTGGCAGCGCGCATGCCGCTGGAGCTCGTCAAACGCATCGTCAAAGGTCTCAAAGAGTGGCATATTGTTTGGCGGGGCTGGAGAAGCATCTTGACAAAAGAACGGTTTGATTAGCTGCTTTGTGGCGGTTGTGTGCCTCTGGAAACTTAGCTGCGCAGACGCGATGTGGTATTGCGAGGTGGGTGGTTATCACGAGTTATTTTGGCTTGTGGTGTTGTACCAGGAGGCTGCTTGCCGCGACGCCAATTGTGTGTATTATGGTGTGTTACGCGTCTACGTGTGGAGTCTTGCCAAGTACGGTAAGGTGCACAGGGAGACTAAAAATCGGGCACAGGGAGCGGAAAGGGGGCCCATTAGGTATGGGGTGCCGGTCATCTGGTTTACGCTAAACCCGAACGACATCACGAACCTGGTGAAGCTACGGCTAGCGGCGCACCGCGGCCGCGACGGCGACGCGGCCGAGGCCTTCCTAAGAGACCTAGGGACTGCGTATAAGCGGACACAGCTAGCCATCTCGGACCCGATGAGCTCGGCCGTCTTTTTCCACCGGGAGATGACGCTCTTCTTCGAGCACTACGTCAGGACCGGGGAGGAGTCGGTGTTCGGGCACGTCGGAGCGTACTACGGGGCCGTAGAGACGAACGAGCGAGGCGCCCTCCACCTCCACGGGCTCCTCTGGCTTAAGGGTAACAGGGGGCTCGGCGAGGCGCTCGCGGGCGCCGACACGGGGGAGCAGGCGGCGTACCGGGAGCGGATCGTCCGATATATAGATAGCGTCTTCTCCGAGGTAAGGCGGCCGAGGGGCCAAACCACAGCAGACCCAGGAGCCAAGGCTAACTTAGGGGCGCAGGAGCTAGACGCAGAAAGTTACTACGTTGTACAGGTGGAGAGGTCAGCCACGGCGGACATATCGTCACAGCTTTACGACGTCGCCCGCTTCACGGACGCCTTCGACGAGGAGGCCAACTTCTGCGCGGGCGCGACGCAGGTCCACACGCACAGCGCGACCTGCGTCAAGTACTCGCTCGGCGCCGGGGCTCGCAAAGGGGACCTCTGCCGGTTCAAGGCGCCGTGGAGGCTGGTGGAGAGGACAGCGTTGACGGCGGACGGGGTGCTCGAGGTCCGGCGGACGCACAGCATGGTGAACCGGTGGAACAGGGCGATGGCGGTCGGGCTGCGGCACAACCACGACATCTCGTTCATCGCGACGCAGCGCAAGACCATGGCCCTGATCTACTACATCACCAACTATGCGACAAAGGTCGAGGACCCGATATGGAAGCGGGTAGCCGCCGCTGCCGAGCTGCTGCCTACCTTGGAGCCGACGGCAGAGAGCGATAACACTAGCACCGACCGCGACGCCGGCCAGGGGACCGAGTCCAGAGACAAGGTAGCGGCGGACCCCGTACAGGAAAACAAGACTCGGGTATTCCTACTAAAGGCAGCGAACCGAGTCTTTACAGAGCGGTCGCTATCGCAGGTCGAGGTAATAGCGCACCTTCTAGGGTACCCGGCCGAATTTAGCAGCGGCGCAGCGTGGGCATATATAAATGTAAACCAGCTCTACTGGGCCGTCTTCCGCCGGTGGCAACACCTCCGACAGGTAAGCGGCGCGGCGGCGACGGGCGACGGGCCGGACGAGACGGTCGTCGTCGAGGCAGCGGGGCCGAGGCTGCCGCTCGTCGAGGCCTACCAGCATAGAGGCGAGCTCCTACAGGGACTCTGCCTTTATGACTACGCATCACTAGTCAGGCTAAAGAGGCGGGACGATGCTGGCGTGGATGGCTGCGTAGGCTGGGGCGAGATATCCTTCACGGAGAGCTGGGCGTTAGGGAAGGGCTGGGTGCAGGCGCTTAGGCGGCTAGGTAAGGGGGCGATGGTATGCCTCGACGGATACTTGAGCAAGGATTTTAGCGAGGAAGACGAGGACCCCTATCACCAGAGGTGCGTGTCGCAAGATGGAGGCTAGCATCCGCCAAGACGGCCTAGGTAAGAAGGTCGCTACTAACTAAACATAGGGCAGCGGTACAGCACCTCGCGCTCTTCGTGCCGTGGGGGAAATTTCTTAGCGAGGAAGTAGGCGACATTAAAGACATCTGGGCGCGGGCACGGGAGCTGCTAACACCGAGGGTCGCCCGGCTTACAGATAACGTACAGCTCCTTCGGAGGTCGGCAGAGGACGCGAAGCGCGATGCTAAGCAGTGGGCTGCCACGTCCGAGGAAGGCGAGTTGACGGCGGCGCGGGCGGAGGGGGAGGGCGGCGAGGCCGCCGAGCAGCGGCGGCAGCACGACAAGGCGCACGCGCTGTGGCGTCGCTTCACGACGGTCGTCATGCTCGACGAGCAGATGCGGGCCGCCGGCGACCCCGAGCTGCGGCGGCTGCTCGGGCGGATCCGGCGCGGCGAGCAGGACCGGTCGGACCTAGAGCTGCTCAACTCGAGGTGCCACCGGCCCGGCACGCGGATCGCGTGGGAGACGGGGGTGACGGTGGTGACGCCGCTGAACCGGAACCGCTGGAACCTCAACCTCGAGGCGGCGCTCGCGTTCCAGGTACTGCAGCAGACGGCGGCGCGCGTCTTCCTATCCGAGCATAAGTGGAAGGGGGGCGAGCCGACGGAGGAGGAGGCGGTGCTGATGCTCGGCCAGGGCGATGACAGCGCGACGCCGGTGCCGGCCGTCTTCGTCTTCGTGCCCGGGATGCCGGTCGTCGTAAACCAGAACACGCACCAGGGGCTGAAGGTGGTGAACGGGGCCGGGTACACGGCGGTGGCGGTGATCCCAGACCGCGCCTTTCCCGGCCACCGGGTCTCGGCGGAGCTGACGGTGCACTTCGGGCCGCCGGCGGGCCTCGTGCTGGCGTCGGAGACGACCAAGGACTTCCACTTCGTCGGGATGCCGGCGGGGACGATCCTGCTGACGCCCATCAGCGTGAAGATCACGGCGCAGCGGAAGCGGCCCTGGCAGCGCAACGACGTCAGCCGGCGGGGCCTGCCGTGCGCCGCGGCCTTCGCCTGCACCGACTACAAGGTGCAGGGCGGGACGATAGAGCGCGTCGCGCTCGAGCTGCGGGGGGCGAGGACGGCGACGGTCGAGGGCAGGGCGGTGGCGTCGCCGTGCGACCCCTACAGCCTCTACGTACAGCTCTCGCGGTGCCCGACGCTCGACGGCATCACGCTAGTGTCGGAGGTGCGGGAGCGGGACTTCATAGGGAACCGGGTGCCAGAGGAGATGACGGCGGCGCAGGCACGGCTAGAGGAGCTAAGCAGGCAGACGACACGGGAGGCAGGCAGCCTGCTCCGTGGCTAAAGGTGGGCGGCATTGGGGTCATAATATATTTAAGGCGAGGGAAGGCATGTCCTAGAGGATTGTGATAGCACAAAGGAAGGATAAGGAGAACGACAGGGCCAGCAGCCAAACCATACACTAGATGGACCAATTAGAAGGAAGGCCCCAAAGAGGTCGAAAAGGGGTCATCTTAATCGTCCTGTGTGCCCTTTTTATCCATCCTGTATGCTAGCCGCATTAGGTTAAAGCGCGATGCCCTGTAAATACAGGGCATCTAATCCCCTATAGTCTTTAATTCTGCCCTCAAGATGGCCCTTCCTAGCAGCCCTTGCCACTATAACCTCCCTGTAAGTGCGGCGCCCTGGCGATGCACGCATACAAATTGCCCATAACACCACGCTTCGTGCGCGATGCCTCTCGTGATACTACAACTTCACACGTAGCCGTACGACCACCAGATCTTCGCACCGCGCCCAACGCCCACACACGCACCAATCGACCCGGATTTTCGCTCACGATGCTTCTCCTGCCTCCGCCGAGCGATATGCCGCTATTTTCACGTCTCGAGGACGCCGTTAGCGCTATTGAGCTTCATGCCCGCGTCCAGGGGTATGCCGTCATCAAGTATAAGCCGAGTAATTACCGGGGTGGAAAGCCCCGTCGGCTAGACCTCGTATGCGCTTGCGGCGGACGAGGCTACGTAACCTCCTCCGCCGGCCTTCGCCGTGCCGGCTCGAGGAAGACTAATTGCCCCTTCGCAGCTAAGATAGTACAGCGGCAGCTCGATGGCGACCAATGGAGGGTTATAGTGATCAATCCGGATCATAACCATGACCCCAGCCCGCCGGGCGCCTTCCCGGAATACCGCCGCTTGTCTGACCCGCAAGTGAAGCATGTGGAGATGCTCGCTGCTGACGCCGGCGTTACGGCACGGCAGATCTTGCTCTCGCTACGAGCGGCTAGCCGTAGCCGCGTCTTAGCTACTGAGCAGGACATCATGAACATCATCGCCCGGCTTCATCGGCACCGTCTTGGAGCCCATACGTCAACCCAGGCGCTTATAGCCTTACTCGATCGCGAAGGCGTCTACCATAAAGAGAGGCTTGACGATGAAAACCGCTTTAAGTATCAGTTTATCGGCCTTGACGAGGACCTCGAACTTTGGAGTCAACATTCCCACCTTATGATGGCAGACGTCACAAATAACACGAACCAGTACGGCCTCAAGTTGCTCGAGATCAACGGGATCACTTCCCTAGGCACTGTCTTTCCCGTGGCCTTCTGTTTAGTGCCCAGAGAAGACACCCCGGCCTTTACTTGGTGTTTTGAGCAGCTTCGAGAGTGGGTGACAGCTAAGGCAGAAGAGCACGGGCGACCTCGCGATACCTTCATCCCGTACGTCGTGATTACTGACTACGATAGCGCGGCGCGAGCCGCGCTTGCTGCTACTTTTCCTATCGCTCAGCTTCAAGTGTGTACGTGGCATATCATGAAGAACGTCTCTACGTATGCCCGGCGCCACTGGCAAGGGGATAATGACGATCCATTCGAAGCAGAATCGCGCCGCGAACACGGTCATGACCCAGGCCGCTGGTCCAGCTGCCCAGGGAAAAGCGGCCCGGGAGAATTCGTCACGGCATTCAAATCCCTCCTCTACGCACCAGACGAAGCGGAATTCGATAAGCGTTGGGATGCCCTCACTCTCGGCTTCACAGACCAGCCGAGGCTCGTGAAATATCTCGAAGACACTTGGCTGCACGTACGCCGTCGGTTCCTATGTCGCTCTTGAAGCCACCATGATAAAGGGCCTAGTTAAATAACCACCTCCTCCCACTAATCTGCCACCCAAAAGTGGGTCAATGTGGCGCATCGCCGCACACAACGTCCGGCCGGCCCCAGTGCACAAACGAGACCCAAGGCACAAGGCCCAAGGCACACAACGCAAGTGAAGCCGGCCGCGATGCACAGAACACATAGAAATGCCACTTTTCTAGGAGTCATTAGACCCGCATCGTCAATTCAAGAGCACTATAACTACAAGGGCTATAAAGGGCATTCCTCCGCCATCTCCCTTAGCGCAAGGGCGTTAGCCTCATCAAGCCGTTCCATCGTATCAAAGTCACAGTCGCCTGCCAAAGGGTCGTCTTCATCCTCTGCTTCTTCCCCAAGTGAAGGCATCGTGACCCGCTGTGAGGTCCACTGTGAAGCCGGCTGTGTTGCCTGCGTTATACGTACGTGGATTGTGCCCTGGGTCTCGTCGGCAAGCTCATTGTCAGAGTTATTATCTTGCCAGCTTCTCGGCGCAGCTGTGCCCGGCTCGTACGAATCGCCGTGTTGACGAAGGTATTCTAAGCCGCGTGCGGTGGAGGTTGTAGCAGCAATAGCAGCAGCAGCGGCTGGCCTGCCTCTGCCTTTGCCGGCGGCCTTGCCGTCAGCCTTGCGCTTGCGAGTGGATTTCTTCGTGCCCGGCAACGCGGCCGGCGCTGTGGAAGGCGGCGATGCTTCGGCACGTTCAATAGCCTCAACGACCTCGAATTCGGAGGCATCGCGGCGGGTGGTTTTCTCGAGGTTCAATGAGCCCTTGGGCCGGCCCTTGCCACGCACAGGCAGCGGCTCTTGTGGCACATCGTCGGGCCGCTGTGGGCGCTGTCGATGCCAGAATTCGTCTACCTCGCTCATCTCAAAGGGTATAACGCCGGCGCCGCCGCGGGCGCTGCCTTGAAGCCGGCCAAAGATATCATGACGGCACGGCAGGCCGAGTGTTGACTTGAAGGCACAGTGATGCTGACGATCACAGCGGCCAGGAGGCGGTTCCGCCTTTTCGTCGGTAGCGGCAACGTTCCTCGGCACAGCACGGCATCCAGCCCCTATCTGTAGGACTGGCCACCTAGCCAAATTGGGCCGGATTTTCGAGAACAGTGGCTGCAGCACTGCTATTGCAACCTTGTGGCCTGTGGCCTGCTGGTGACTTGAGATTTCCTCTGCCTGATGCCTCCAGAAGGCCTGTAGGCGCTGGAAAACAGAGGTCAGGTCGCCCGTTGAGGACCAGAGGAACCTCTTCATCGTAGAGTGCATGCCTTCTATAATAGAAGTAGTCCTATGGCCAAGGTGCCTATGCCGGTCAACGAAGCACAAGACGAACTTTTCCTTCCAGGGGTCTAGCCACGTATTTATAGCGTATGCCACAGCGGCCGGGGGGTGCCCAGCGGTCTTGAACGCCTGTAGCCGTGTGTTAAAGAGGTCATCTTCAGGGGCGTTGACGAGGCTGGCCCAGTCTTGGAGGAAGGCTGTGAATTCGGGGGCCCTGACGGTGCGGTTGCCTTCCTTCGTTGGACCAGGAAAATGGGCCTTCGTCTTCGCAAGGATATTCTTGTTGATATGCCAGCGGCACAGTAGGTGAAGCACTGCAGCTAACTCCGGGATAGAAAGGAGGGCATTCATAAGCGCAGCTCCCGGTCCGTGACTATCACCCGCGGCAGAGGAATTCCTTCCTGTACAGCTAGCTCAACGAGGCACTGCAGGGCCCACTGGTAGTGACCCTCTGTCTCTCCTGTGAGGAACGTAGCGGCTATAGAGAAGGTCTTCCTCTCTGACGTGGAGCCACAGAAGTTGAGGACAGGCATCCTGAACCTATTGGTCTTATACGTACAGTCAAGCAGCAAGGCGTGCCAGAACTGACGCCAAAGGTTGATGCCAGAGCGCGGGGCCACAAAGAGGGCAGTTAGCCGATTCTCCCGTCACGTGCATCGCGAAAGAAGCCGAAGGACGAGTCTTTGAGAAGGTCATAGAGGAATTGTATGGGCGTACGATTGGCAAGTTCCTCGCGCCGGTGTGCCGCGAGGGCGTTCGCGATGTGTGCCCCCTGTATGCCGCCGAGACTAGGGTCTTCGTGGACTAGGCCACGAAGGTGTGCCGCGATGAGATATGGGCGGAGGCCGCAGTTGTATAAGTGTATTATATGCTTGCGGCGTTGGCTGATGACTTCGGCACGGAAGCCGCTGTGTGTGATAGCTGGAGTAAAGGGATGATTGTGAGGCTCGCACTTCGCGGTAGGCTGCACAGTCCAGCCGCCTCCCGCTCCAGGCTGCTTCTTAAGCCCAAGGGCGAACTTGCAGTCGGTGCATTGTGACGATGTGTTCGGCCGGCTCTTCGACTCGTGTACGCCTGGGTCGTGGTTATCAACGTACGGGCCGTACTTCGTGCAGACGAGCAACACATAGGTCGGCGCACGAGCCGAAGGCTTCGCATTCCGGCGCCTAAGGCCAAAGCCTATCTCCCAGCCTACGGTCTTGCAGGCACGAGTAGCCTCGGCCTCGGACTCGTAGGTGGTAGAGAACACAGTGCTCATGGACTCCATAGCGGCGAGTGGTACGGTGACGTGGGTGGCACGGTCGTGACGTGGCGGCGCGGCGGTGATAACGGCGTTGCAACCGATTAAGGCGTTGTTAAGATATCGCGAAAAGCTTCACTTACGGTTGACTGTGTGATGTTGCGCGGCGTGCCTTGTGTGCCAGGGAGGTTTTTGCGTTACGCCACCTTTACCTTAAAGGTGCGCCACATTGACCCACTTTTGGGTGGCAGATTAGTGGGAGGAGGTGGTTATTTAACTAGGCCCTTGGGCATTATAGCCTTTTCCTCCCCTGCATGCCCCCTTGGCTGGCAGCTGCGAAGCGGGGTGATCCTTTTTTTTCACCGTATATTTCGACCATATCGCCATTCATTCAAGATTTTGATGAATGAATTGAATAAAGACTCCTGATTTTCGATTCGTCGAATTTGAAGACCTTACCCGATTCCGCTTCATTCAATTCAAGGGTCCCGAGGCCGATTCGACTTCAAAATCTTCAAATATCAGCCCTAGTTGCCAAGTGGAGCGGCGAGGGCCTCAACCAATCGCTTTTGAGCCGGTCGCTGAGGACAAATGGGAGTGTTCACAGTCGCTTGTTTGGCAAACCCAATACCTTGCAATTCTCTTCCTTTCTTTCTCTCCAGCTTTAGGATATTTAGGATACTCGTTGCAGCCGCTCAGCTACCATGCCCCACCCCCCTTTCGGTAACACCCACCTTTCGGTAGCGCATTAGAAAATATCCCCACCAAAAACCATCAATTTCACTTACACCGATTCCAGCCAGCTTTGAAGATATTCACAAGCCGTCACTTGGAGTAGATAGAGGATTGATTGAATTCTACTTTTCGATGGTTGAATGTTTGTACAGGGTCTGTGGCCTGTGCGTACCTTGCACGCGAAATTACCATCCAACCCCCTAATCTCCTTCCGCCTCCTGACGATGATTCTTCTCGTTATTCCTCCACCACAAGACCAAAATGACCTTAAAGCGGCCTCGGAGTATTTATACGAAGGATATTATGGCTAATGCGATAATTGATGTCACAAAAAACGGCTTGTCGCAGTACCGCGCCGCCCAAAAGTATGACATACCTCAGCAGTCTATTTCCGACAGACTCAAAGGCCAGGTAGCCCTGGCTGATCAGATCCAGCCTCGTCAACTCTTGAGTAAGTCTCAGGAAGCTCGCTTGGTTTCTTGGATCCTCCGCCAAGAGTCTCTCGGCTATGCTCCCTCCCACAGTCAGATCCGCGCATGTGTGGAGGCTCTTATGAAGCAACTGAACAACGAGCGGACAGTGGGGTGCAACTGGGTCTCTAAATTCATCAATCGCCATCCGGACATCAAGAACAAGCGTGGAGACGTCAGGAAGCTAACCGATTTAATGCTTTTACGCCTCGGGCGGTTCACTGGTTCTTCGATATCAGGAAAAGGAGTATGGATGGATTAAACCAGAAAATACCGTGAATGTTGACGAAGGCGGTATTATGTCTGGCTTTGGTGAGTATTTGGCTTGTCTTTCATTACTTTTACTAACCAGACTCTTTTTGCCAGGTTTGGATAGTCTTGTGGTTGGGAGTGCAGACCCAAAACGGAAGGCTCTTCTGAAAGGGCCACAGTCCCGCAACTGGACCTCATTTATTGAAGCTATCACCGCGGACGGCCGTGTCCTTACCCCTGGCATTATCTTTAAGGGCAAAGAACTTCAGAAACAGTGGTTCTTGACGGAATTCGGCAAAATAGCCAACTGGCATTACATAACGTCGCCCAACGGATGGACGGACAACCATATCGCTATTGAGTGGCTTGAGAGGGTCTATTTGCCCCAGACGCGACCAGCCGATGGCTCAGATGCTAGATTGATCATATTAGATGGACATGGAAGTCATGCAACGGTGCGTTTCTTTATCCACCTCTGTAGGAATTACTGTTAACCGGGACCAGGATGCATGGATGGCCACATGCTTTTTGAACAACGTTTATTGCTGTTACCTTCCTGCCCACTGCTCTCATGGCCTCCAGCCGTTAGATAACGGGGTATTCAATGCCTCCAAGGCAGCTTACCGGAAAGAACTTCAGAAATTGACCTGTTTGACCGATTCTGCGCCTGTTCATAAGGTCAATTTTATACGGGCATATGCTAAAGCGCGCGAGGTTGGAATGACGGCAAAGAATATATTGTCCGGCTGGAGGTCACTGGAATTGGCCGATCTCACGATCCAAGGCATTGCGGCATCCAGAAATTCACGCGGACATTGTAGAGACGTCTCCAAAGTCCGCGCCATTTTGGGTTCTGATGATACGCCAAGAAACAGCCGCCAGATTCGCGATTTCGGAAAGAACAAGACTCCTGGCACCCGGAGACGATACGCCGTGATAGCTAGAGGCTTTGAAGCCCAAGAACAGACGCTTGCCGAGCACAGCAACAGAATCGCGAAGCTAGAGGAAGAAGTGGCCCGGCTGCAGAGAGGCAAGAAGAGGAGAGCAATTCCGAACCCGAACAGACGGTTCATGACTCTCAGTGAAGCTTTGGTGGCTGAGGCCATTCCCAAATTAAAAGCCAAGAGATAGCCGTTGTGCTGAATTCTGACACAGAGGAGGAGGCGGTCTCAGAGGTGGAGACAGCTTCAGTGATCGAAGTCAAGGTGGCACCCGAAGCCCTTCCAGTCACCACCAGATCCGGGCGAATGGTAAAAAAGCGCCGGTACATATAAGAGCGTCCATTTCTCTACGGAATGATATTTTTTTGTGTTTATAATGTTAAGTTCTGATCATATTTCATGTAGTTCAAATGGTAGACTTTTGGTGGAGAATTTTTCAATTGCGCTACCGAAAGGTGGGTGTTACCGAAAAGGGGGTGGGGCATGGTAGTTGTCAACATACTTAGTGGAGACCGTTACATGGAACGACCAGAATGGATCTATATTGCATCACTCCGTATACGACAAAGAAGGTCGCGCGTCACATGAGATCACATGGGAGAAAGACAATTTCAAGTGCGAGAAACGCGAATTGTTAATAGAGAGCAGTCGTAAACGCTCCTACTGCGGCAGGCAAGCGGCAGGCCGGCCCCGGCTCGCTCGGATTCCGGAGCCAGTTGAGAGACGGAGGAAGGGCCGAAAGGGAAAGATTTCGACGTCTGTTCGGCTCCGACCTAGCCAGGTTGAAAGCCACTCCCCTCAATCCACTACCCGTGCCACCCATGGAATGCATCGACTGCCAAATTGGAAACACCAGTCACACGGCCTCCGTAAGACGGCCCCCGTAGCAAATTGGTTCCGCCCGCATAGCAACTGCCAAAAAGAATGGCCGAGTTGTGCGTTGCTCCAGGCTCAGCTTCATCCTGTAAGTTTCCATAGGAAGGGATCCAGAGACTTCCGCTCCCTAATCAAGAGACGAGCTGCAGGATCGGGAAACATATCGCTGTCAATCGTAAAATTGGCGGGCCTCTTTGCACCAGCGGGAAAATTAAATTCGTACCGTAGAAGCAGGTGAGATAGAATCAACTTCATTTCGTTGGCAGCATAGAACCGGCCGGGACACGCGTATCTCCCGTATCCGAAGGCCATGTTGCTAGAGTTGGTCATGGTGAACATGAATCGATGTGCTTTCTCGGCTTGAGCCGGATCCTCGCGCAGTTTAGAGTATCTGAAAGGGTCAAATTTGGAGGGCGCGGCGGGCCCGGGGACGAGACCAGGATCCTGCAGAATGGCATTCGAAGGCACTGCGACGCGAGTCCCAGGCGGAAGAAAGGTGCCGTCAGAGAGTGTCATTGGATTATGAAAGATGCGGTTAAAAGTCACTGTGAACATGTCAGCTATCTCTTGGCCGTATTCTTTATGCAAACACCTTACTTACAGAGAAACACGGGACTGAATCGCTGTGACTCCTTTAAAAGGCTGTCCAACTTATAGAGTCGACTGAGGAGAGTTTTGTCCCATCGGCCGACGTCGAACAATGCGTTGGCGGCTTCTGTTCTAAGCGGCTCGAAATATTCTGGGTGTGCACATAGATCATACAGCGCCTGCGTCATCGTCAAGGCCGTTGTATGTATTGAAGTCAAACTCAGGATGAGCATCCGCTGGGCCAAGTTGTCGAGAGATCGCTCTCGGCCAGTCGCTTCGTCCATCATCCACTGCAAGATATCCGTAGGCTTCGCATAGTTCGGCCCCAGCTCCTTCTTAGAAGCCTGACGTGAATTCAAAATGCCGCCGATGATTTTTCGAGAAGTTGCAACGTTTGTGAGCAGCGCCCTGTAGGAAGGCATTAGGGGGGCGACAACTGGTCGGAGCCAGCGCGGGAGCATCCGTAGAGCCATGCCAGTGATGAAAAGATTCTTGCTGTACTCAGCCGTTGCTGTGTGCCATTCTTCGTTCCGACACTCTTCCGGGCCAAGAAACACCCTGGAAGAAATGTGGGCAACAGTCCGCGCCAGGAGGTGGTTTATATCAACCTGAAACCATTGGTCTGTGGGAATACAACCTAAGACAATGACCCTAAAGAGTTATGGCCGATGGGTCTTACCTTTACATTCGGGAATTTCTTTCTTCAGAGCAAGGTCTAGTTCAGTCTTCATGATGGAAGTGAGAAGGCCCAGGTTTGGGGTCAGTCTTTGCTGGATCACTCTGTTTTGTAGATCGCTCTCCAGAAAAACCGTGCCGCGAGTATAGTCACCGATAAAGTCATGGATGAAAGGCTCAACAGAGCGTACTTTATCCTGTGAAAGGGCACGAATCTCATCAACATATTTGGGTGTGAGGATGACGATGTCAGCCCCAATGCGCCGAACTTGAAACAGGGAATCCTTGAACTTGATTGAAGCATAAACGTTAGACCATCAGCACTTAAGCTTCCCACGCAATTGGTTATTCTGTCACCTCCCTCACGAATCACTGACCTGATGATAACCCTGACGAATAATGGAAGGCCCGTCTCGCACAAATCGGAGACGGACCAGCCAAGTAGGCTCCCAATAGCTTCGATATCCGGCGAACGGAACTTTGACTTCAGCTTTAAGCAGTGTCAAAGACATGGACGCCAAGAACAATGACACCACTCCCAAAGCAATAGCAGTCTGCACATTAATTCCGTTTTGTTGGATGTGATCCAACTCAAAAGTGAATAATAAAGGCCAAGTCATGGTTGTAGTATTATTGTTCATGTTGGTCATTCGAACATTTGAATGGAGTGTTGACAAGCGTAACAAAAGCAGAGTATAGTTCGACAGCCTCAATGAAGCATGATCAGTCCCTGACCATGTCTCTGCCGACGGACGCTCGGCTCCGGCACATCACTGGACACTCTTGGATCAGGATATGCCGTCATTGAGCGACTTGCTCCGACCGTTGAGGAATGGAGCTGTTGACTAGGTGCTCCCTGTCGGTGGCGCTATATCGGCTTTCGGCTTACGACAGCTACCATTCGTCCACGTTGTATTATTAGCGCCCCCGCAGCGTGTACAGGTCAGCTTCCTCCCTCTCCCTCTTTGCCTGAGGGTTCGAGCGGCTGAGACAATGTGGGCGTTTCAATGAAACGAATTCCTGATTGGGGTAGAGCATCGCAAGTGTGTGCTGCTTAGGGGATGTAATTGCGCAACGAGCCTGCACACAGAATATGTCCGCAATGAGCAGAAAAAGTTCTCATCCGGTCAAAGATATCGCGTATTGAAAATGATGACGATTTGCTCCATGAATCTGAAATGTTTGTACCGAAGAAATAGCTTCCAGTGTTTAGATAAAAGGAGGTAGGCTTGCCCTTGAAGATTAAGGGCTTGTCTAACCGGCAGACCAAAAGTGGAGAAAGTGTGGCTGGTCAAGGCACAGCGCCAGAGTGGTCTGCCGGTTAGTCAAGCCCAAGATTAAAGGAACAGGGCTTGGTATCGGCCATGGCTATGGCTCCTACCCCACATGTTGAGGACTAGGGGTGCCCAATTAAATCGGATGTTTCCTCACCGCTTGCCCTATCGCGGCGTTATTGGGGCCGCACAACCGCGGTGTGGGTATCCACTGGCCAATGATGGTTTGCCATCTGGTTTGTCTCGGAGGCTATAGAGACATTATCTCTTCACCGCCATTTTCCCCTGAAACATGCTTTTTATCGGGGGTGGTTATCCGTACAACACATTTTGGTAAATGTACAACAAAAGGCGGGGCAGACGTGGCGCCATCTTTTTCTATTGGCCGGTTCTCTACGCCACAGTACGCCACAGTCAATTGTATAGAAGGTACTTAGTACGTACGCGCGCATCGCCCGCCTACTGTGCAGGGCCAGTTCACTGCACAAACGCTGGGTGCAGCCCTAGCCCTTATTTGCAGGGATTGCAGCCTCGCACAGGTCTATAGTCTGCGCGCCCCTCCACTAGGGATGGGGCCAGTAGCTAGCATCCGCATCATCAGAGCTTTTCCACGAGTAATCAAACATGCACTCCTGATTTTCAAACATGCACTCCGACTTAAACCCCATTTGGAAGAGAGCCCCACCAAAATTTGGCGCGGCGCGTTCCCAACGCCGTGGCCGCCGCGGCTGCCGCCCGGTCGCATTCAATCAGCATTTAATTATCACCAACGCTGGAAGCTGCGTTCCTTGAGTCGTTCAAATATATCAATACGCCCGGCCCGACCTATTTTCCGATATATATACAATGTGCACACTTTGACTACCGCCCGTGAGATCAATCAACGCCGTGACTATGACTGTGACGGTGCCGGAGGATCCGTCCGACGCGGCGGAGGGCGAGGCACGTAAGGACGAACGTATGCCCGGCCTGCCTACCAAAATTGTATGGCGCCGTGTCCTCTGATCCCCTGGCTGTCGGGCAGGCTCCCTGCCGTCCCTTGCGACTGTACCGGCGGCTGTGCCCACAGGCAGCTATCGTGATGTCCCTGTGCCGAGGGGGCGGCCCCTGCCACTGTGAGGGCGTAGGTGGCATCGGGTAGACGTACGATGCCGCCGGCGGCGCCTGTGTGTATACAGGCACATGTGTTGTAGGCGGTGGCATTACGTAGTACCCCTGTGAGCCCGGCGGCGCCTGTGGAAGTGAGGGCATCGTCTGTTTGTATTCATGTTGCGATCGGTCGAATTCATCGTGACGGTTGTGCGGTAGGCGGCGGCGGCGGTGGCGGCGTTGGTGTGGTGTGCTGAATAGTTGGTGATAGCTTCAAAACGATGGCTTCAAAACGAACGAACGTGTGCAGAGGTGGCCTCGGGCGCCGGCGGCAAGCCGCGGCGGCCACGGCGTTGGGAACGCGCCGCGCCAAATTTTGGTGGGGCTCTCTTCCAAATGGGGTTTAAGTCGGAGTGCATGTTTGAAAATCAGGAGTGCATGTTTGATTACTCCTTTTCCACAGCCCGCCTCTCGCGCAATAAGACATGGCAGCAGGCAGGCTGTAGCCTTGTGAGGCTGCAAGCCGCCTGCTTTGTATGGCCTCTGCTTGCGTGCCCTCTTCTTTTATAGCCTTGCAACACTCTGCAGGCTTCACAACGTCTACCTGTTATGGCCTTGCAACCTCTGCCTGTGTGGCCTTGTGCAAGTGCTATGCCTGCGTGCCTACGACCTTTGGCCATGTATTGGGTACACGCAAGCCACGTTTACTCCACTTTTTGTTGTACATTTACCAAAATGTGTTGTACGGATAACCACCCCCTTTAGGCCCCCCTAGTAGTAGTTGGGCCGGATGGTCGACCAGTCATCAACGTCCTCGTGTCCAAACTATAAAAGGGCCTAGTTAAATAACCACCTCCTCCCACTAATCTGCCACCCAGAAGTGGGTCAATGTGGCGCACCTTTAAGGTAAAGGTGGCGTAACGCAAAAACCTCCCTGGCACACAAGGCACGCCGCGCAACATCTAGGCCCTTGGCAATGGGCCTAGTTAAATAACCACCTCCTCCCACTAATCTGCCACCCAAAAGTGGGTCAATGTGGCGCATCGCCGCACACAACGTCCGGCCGGCCCCAGTGCACAAACGAGACCCAAGGCACAAGGCCCAAGGCACACAACGCAAGTGAAGCCGGCCGCGATGCACAGAACACATAGAAATGCCACTTTTCTAGGAGTCATTAGACCCGCATCGTCAATTCAAGAGCACTATAACTACAAGGGCTATAAAGGGCATTCCTCCGCCATCTCCCTTAGCGCAAGGGCGTTAGCCTCATCAAGCCGTTCCATCGTATCAAAGTCACAGTCGCCTGCCAAAGGGTCGTCTTCATCCTATTTAACTAGGCCCATTGCCAACCATCCCGAGCTTATAGAGCCTCTACGCGCAGAACTTGTCTCGGTGCTAGGCCAGAGTGGTTGGTCAAAGCATTCTCTACATAAGCTGAAGATCATGGACAGCGTGCTTAAAGAAAGTCAGCGCATGAAGCCCACCTCAGTGGGTATGTCAATCACATATTTCTACGAGACTATATTTCTGAACATAGCTAACGAGACATCTTCCATCATTAGCAAGTATGCGGCGCATGGCAACTGCCGATGTGAAGTTGTCGGATGGGACGGTACTGCCTAAGAACAAGTTGACGCTTGTATCTCTTCAAAAACACTGGGACCCTGAGTCGTATGAGAATCCGGATGTTTTCGATGGGTACCGCTTTTATAACATGCGTCAGCAATCAGGGAAGGAGAACAAGGCCCAGCTTGTCAGCACCAGTCCTGATCATATGGGCTTCGGATTCGGGCTCCATGCCTGTCCTGGACGATTCTTCGCCTCTGAAGAGACGAAAATTGTTTTGTGTCACATCCTTTTGAAGTACGACTTCAAGCCGGTCCTAGGGTCGAATATCGAACCACGGAAGTTCGGACTAAGTATGAATGCAAACCCGACTGCGAAGCTGGCGGTACGAAGAAGGCAGGAGGATATTTCTATTTGACATCCTCTTTCTAGAAAGGCAAAGGCTGCTGCTGTGCTTCGTCAAGGATCATGAATTTGTACCATGCTTACCCCCGTTTTGTTCACCCCCTTATGTCAGACAGCTGCGGCCACATGTGGTATTCGCACGGTATGGAACTGGGCTACAGCTATAAGCTGGACAAGGCATGAAACGAGCCGGCAAAGGCGTCTTGGTTGAATTGAGTGAAAAGTATCTAAGGAGCAAGAACTGAATGAGCGGATGCACAGAATCTTGCTGTACTTTATACACAAATGAAAGGTTGTTGCCTGTTTAGGCAGTAATTGCTGCCTGCCAGGCAGCAGTTGCGGATTGCGATAGCGTGCGGCTGAACTCGCCACCCACCTTGATAGCTGACACCTTATGCTCAGCAAAAATGTCGCCGCTCCATACAAATTGGACCAACTTCACTTGCACAGAATCTACTCAATTTTAAAGCTTTTCACAAGCAGTCACCTGTAGCATGTAGCCAAATGACTGAATTTACATTTTCCGGTGTCATTTCATGGTCCTATGTGTCGTGGTCTGTGACACCTTGGCATCGCAAAATGGCAATGCAACATGCCCCAATAGTCCTTTGTATCGGACCAATGGCGGCACTGAAACAGCCCCACTTAGGCCAACCCAGACCGACTCAGACGGACCGACCGGCCTGTCCGGTCTGTCGGTCTGCAGCCTGTCAGACGGTCTGTCTGTTAGCCACACTGTGCACGCCCAACTCAACAACGCCCCCTCCTCCCTTTTCCACACACGGCCAGGACATGATCTAGAAGGCAATCTCCTCCGTCCTTCTTCGAACTGCTAGCTTCGCAGTTGGATTGGCGCTCATGCTGAGTCCGAATTTCCGCGGCTCTACGTTTGACCCTGGAACCAGCTTGAAGTCATACATTAAGAGCATATGACACAAAGCCAGCTTGATCTCTTCTGAGGCAAAGAACCTCCCAGGGCAAACATGTAGTCCGTACCCAAAACCAATATGGTTGGGACTGGCGCTTACGAGTTGGGACGTATTCTCTTTTCCAGGCTGCTTGCGCATATTGAAAAAGCGGTAGCCGTTGAAGGTATGTGGATTCACATATGTTTCAGGATTCCAGTGTTTTTCAACAGATACCAGTACCAATTTGTTCTTGGGCAGAACTGTTCCGTCTGAGAGGTTCACATCCGCAGTCGTGAAGCGCCGCATACTTGCTAATGCCGAGGCGTAATGATAAGTGACTGCGACGTGGAGCGCCAAGTCTGGGATCGAGCTTACCAACTGAAATCGGTTTCATCCTCTGACTTTCCTTCAAGACACTGTCCATGAGTTTGAGGCTGTATAGAGAGCGCTTTGACCACCCACTCTGGCTTAGCACTGCGATGATTTCTTCACGAAGGGGCTCGATGAGCTCCGGATGACTGGTAATGTCCAACATGGCCTGAGTAAGGAAGTCGGTTGTGGTGTGCAGCGCTCCCACTGAGAGAGAAAGTTGAGCACACGCCGGGTCGTAGCTCACATGTTTCTCCCGAGCCGTTTGCTCCAACCACTCGATGGCGTCGTTGTACTCACACTTGGCTCCTCGCTCAGCGGCAGCAGCCTTTTCACAACGCCTGGTCTCTATTAGTGGATTGATGAGATCTCTTGCCTCCTGGACCAAGGCACGAGCCGAGGTGCAATGTGGGAGGAACCATTGGGCAGTGGACCGAAGCCAGTGTGGCCACAGCCGAAGTTCTTCCACCGCCTGAAAGGCCACGGTCGTATACGTGGACATGATGCGGAGCCACTGAGGATTTCGACACATCTTCAGCCCCAAAAACACGCGTGATGTGATGCGTGCCATGAGCTGCAAGTTGACTTCTTTGGCCACGACCTCATGCCAATCTGTACCGGTCAGCAGGCTAGCAAAAAGTTGAGGCAGGCAAAGCAAGCACGCTTCGTTACCTTCATTGTCAGTGTAAATCTCTTGTAAGGCCACTTTGCATTCATCGGAGACCGGCTTTGTTACGAGGGTGAGTTGGTGCGTAAGCTGATGCATGGCAACATGCTTCATGACATCACTTTCGTTGGTCCCTTCTCTGAAACCTTCAAATCCTGGAAGATGCGCATAAAACCACTGTTTTATTCGATTTATAACCTGTCAGATATGATATTCTGGGTTAGCCCACCTTGAAGGCTGCTTGTGTGACACTGAGCTCGTCGTGATTGCGAATCTCATGGGTGTACTTGGCTGGAAGAATTAGAATCTCTCCAACGTCGGCAAGCATGCGAAAAGGCAGCCCTGGAACTTGCGCAAGGCGGTTTGATATCATATTCCCGGCCTTGACGATGAACAGTTTCTTCGAGCGAACATTGGTGAGCTCGAAAGGGCGTTTGCCGTTGACCAAAGGGAACGGCGACGGTTTGGAAAGCCGTAGAATTTGCAGTGTCAAGGGCCGAATGGAATAAGCTATCAAGACGACGCTAAGCGCCAACGCCAACAGACCGATTGCAGGACTCATGCTGCTCTAATGTGATAGATGGGAACTCGTTTTGGCAAAGGAAGTAGAAAGTTTCGTCTTTGTCACGAAGAGCCTTGCGGATTATAGGGTACCTGAGCGTATCTTATAATCCAGGTAACCGTAGGGACAACAGCACGGGCAACAAAAGATTGCCGACCCTGTATTCGGACAGGTGTGTGGGTGCTGGATGAGAAATTGCATAATAAAGACACGGTGGCGCGAGGCCAGAATCCGGGTGCCCGGCATCGCGGAGTAATCAAACAAACATACACTCCGACTTAAGCCTATTCGAGACCGCAGCCCCACTCCGGCGCACTTCGGGCGCCTCTGGCGCGCAAATTCAATTCTCCGAGCGCGACACAACGCTACCATGTTCGCGCGGGCCAAGGCCCTTGCTACCCATAAATTAGGAATCCAAAACTCTGCTCCGGGCATCCGGCGGTGATAATTCAATTGCCAATTCTTTTAAACGGGAAAGTTGGGAAGTAGAAAGTGTTGGTAGCCGGGCGCCTTGCGGCGCAGTAGAATTAATTGAAGTACGCGCGCGAGTGGGGCTGCGGTCTCGAATAGGCTTAAGTCGGAGTGTATGTTTGAAAATCAGGAGTGTATATTTTGATTACTCGGCATCGCGTGTCGTGATGCATAGCGCTTCTGGTAAGGTATGACACATTACATGGCGCTGGCCTTAGTCTTCGCCGCTAAGGCCGCAGCCACCAACTAACGTGTGGAGCGATCACCCGGCACTACATTGACCAGACAACAGGACCAAGACAAACCAGATGGCCAAACCATCATTGGCCAGTGGATACCCACACTGCGGTCGTGCCACCCCAATAACGCCGCGATAGCGCAAGCGGTGAGGAAACATCTGTCGCCAAGACCGTCGCGCCACGCAGGCAAAAGTGGAACGCGCTCCAACAGGTGCGCTGCAACTGACACATATCCAATGACTGCTCCCGACAACATCCGATTTAATTGATCCTCAACAGAGTTGGAGCCACAGTCATGGCCGATACCACACGGCCCTATGGTACAGTGGTGGGAGGACAAAAAGTTCCGGCCACTTGCGCTAGGATTACCCTTCTAGCTTAGTACCGTCACTTTATCTAATTGGTCGGGACACCTCCTCGACTGGGGCGGAATGTCGTTTGACACAGTGTATCGTCGATCAATATCGTATCGACCCCTATCGATATCGATTTTCAGCATAGCCATTTGTCAGAACTGGAGGTTCTAGGTGATCCCAGAATAGGAAAGGCACGGCTGTGATGCAGTGGATCAATCGAATTAGGGAAGGCAGGCCTATGTGGCCTTCAGAGATATTCGTATTCTCTCGCGAAGTAGTAGTAGTAGTAGTATTGATTACCGTCTGGGACATCCCTATAAGGGCAAAAGACGTGCTAGGCCAGAGAAGATATCGCACGGAGGATGAGCAAGTGGGCATAAAGATCAGGGACTGGAAGACTCTTGATTCTGCTATTTAAGGTGGGAAAGAGGCGAGATCTTTATAGACTGCCTGAATATGAGAATGGAAGGGAATGGTAGTGAATGGAAGCATCTGATCGGATCATCTGGAAGCCACTGATGCGTTGATGATGCCTCCTAGAAGTTTCTGTGGGGAAATGTGGAAACGGACTGTGCGAATAGGGGGTCAGACTGTTGGAGGCTGATATCCTATGTGTGACAGAAGAAAATACTTCGAACACCCGTTAAGTTGCCAAGGCAAGGGGCTTAACGGCTGAATATCCAGCCCGAAGGGTGAACATCGTATACCTGTAATTGAACTTTCCTAGGGGGGGACCCCCTAGAACCCCCCTCGCCTGCCGCGGGCAACATGCTGTTTAAACCGCTTCAACCTGCAGCCTAATAATCTCTCTACTGCTTCCTGACAGGCCCAATCTAACTACATACCGTATATCGAATCTCCCTTCCCGGTAGCTTATAGGAAGACGCCGTTTAGTCAAGGTAGAGTGGTGTATACGGTGGATTGGTCAGCTGTTGAGTCTGACGCCGTTGTTGGTCAGCGAGGCGCATCTTCATCCCTGCCTTGTAGTTAGCCGTGAACGCGGTACGTAGGAAACTCAGGCGTATAAACCTTCTGTCGGCGTGTACTTATAGAGGCTCTGGCGATCGAAAGGCGCCTCAAGGGTAAGCCTTGCAGCGACGTAACCCGTGACACAGCAACATAGCTAATACCGGCCTGGAAGTCGCGTGTAGCGAGGTCAGTAACTATTTGATCCTTCGTTAGGCTCTGGCATTTGTGAACCGTGATAGCAAACGCCACCATCAGGGAAACTGCGTGCGAGCGCAGGTCTCGTTGCCCACTAGAAATCACGCCTGACTGGCAGGATGGGTGAGATTTTCCTGCCTTCGTTAGTTGTTAGATATGGCGGTCCGTCGTAGCCATCAAAGTCCACCATAATAACGGCTGGGGATCTTCCAATGGTTCGGCGCCTGTGTTCCAGCCGATATCGTATATAGTACCCTGGGCGCCGTTAACTAGGCCAGCTGGCTGCCATAGGTTAGTTGTGAGCATTACCCTGGCGCCCTTAGCAACAGGGAACTTGTTAGATAGATTGCCAGCATTGTCGCTTGGTGCCTGCCCCGCGCCTTTGCCCTGATTCTTTGCCTCCACCTGCATTGCCGGGGCGTTGAGATGCACCATATGCTCGTAATTGTATTCGTTGACCCTGGCCTTTGTAGAATACACCCGCAAAGCGGCCCCGAAGCTGTCAACCTCGCTCTGCGTTAGTTTGGCCTGTACCCGATTGCTAAGGAGGTTCCAGGACGGTATGGATAACTTGACTTCACGCAGTTCCTGCAACGCCTGACGGAACTGGGCCTGATCATCACCAGCCTGGCGCTGTGCCGTGGTCAGGAAGACGGTGCGGTCAAATAACCGGTAGGCCACCTGCCCTCTCCTTTCCAACGAAGACAGGCCGGTGCTAGTCGAATACAGGGCTTCTGCCGGACTGGTGGCAACTGGAAGAAATCGCCCACAAGCAAGACGCTCACCCCACCAAAGAACTCGAGGTTACGCTGTGGAAAGGCCTGCCGCAGACGGGAATCGATCCGCGCGAGCTGCTCAAGCCCTAGCATGCTCTTTTCATCGATAACGAGGTATTTGACGTGCCGTAGGCGGGACTGAAGGGCGGCTGCGTCGGCTGGGGGAAGGTCGGTAAAAGTACCTCCTACCGGGAGGCGTAGCAACGAATGAATGGTACTGCCCTGTATCTGGTTACTCGCAACGCCTGTTGGCGCAACACGGCAAATAGGACTAGGATTCGGTAGGGCGGCTGCCTGGAGATGGGAGGAAAGCACCTTGATAAGGAATGACTTGCCTGTACCACCACCACCATCAACGTGAAGAAGGATTTGAGCAGGATTTTGCGCCTGGAAGTGACCCATAAATGTGTCATACACGAGCCGTTGTTGTGGGTTCAGCCGATCACGCCAGTGAGGGCCAAGGACCTCCACATCGTTGGCCATAGGGTGGCTAGCGATTAGGTCTTTCAGTAACCGTCTCGAAGTTCCGGATAAGTACCTACATGCCGTGTCCAGTCGTAATTGACGTCGATATCGCGGCGGCCAAGTAGGTCGAGACCTTCCTGGGTAAGGGGGTTGTCAGGTAAAAGAGCGGCGAGGCGAATCCAGTCTTCGTCATCAAATTCTTCCTCCACAGGCAGAGCCTCGTATTGATCCTCTTGAGGCTGTAATCGAGCCTCTTTTGGCCGGCCGTAATGGTCATCACCATGACTGTGGTGCTGCCAACAATAGGAGAAAGCCTCAACGTGAGAACTAAAAGCTGGCTGTCAAAGGTGAGGAGCTCATCAAGGCGGCGATGTGGGTGGTTTAATGTTAGCTTTACACGGCAGTAATCTGGCCACTGTTGTCCTTCTGGATCAACCTGATAGCGAGGAAAGTAAACCAACACACGAGGCCTGCCATTAACGTTGCCTGGCCGCCATTGCTTCCATGTGGAAGAGTCCCTAGAGCGGAAATTCCAGTGTTTGAGGAAGGAAACGAAGGTCAGGTCCTTCAGGGCTTCCGGGCGTCGACCATACTTTTCGTAGACGTTGGGGGCCTCGTCAACCTCACCGCCGTCAATACGTAGGGCGGAATGCCTGTCAGGATGACGGCAGTCAACGTACAGGCAGGTTCGTGAGCCCTCCTGTAACGGCAGGCCGAGGAGTAAGTGGCTAACCTCCTGCTTCGAGTAATCCCGCTCAGCAACTAGCTGATTCAGGAGCTTTGACGTGAAGGAAACCAGGGGGTTGTGGTCCTTGACCCGGGGCATCAGCGCCTTCCCAATATGGGCAAAAGACTCGCTCTTCTTTTCCGACTTGGAGCAGTATTTGGCTGCGTAATCGATCACCTGCTGGAGGCTCGTGCAGGGCGAAACATCTGTATTGGCTAGCCATGAAACGGTGAGCAAGCGGTTGTAGTGGTTAATCTGACCATCGTTCCTCTCACCCCTGAAGCTCCAGTGCTTGGAGTGAGGAGCCTTGTCAAGGAGGCTAGTAGGCGCTGGTCGTGAGGAAATCCAAAGCGGCACTCTACCCGCTTGGTATGCTTATTGAGCTGCATACAGTAGTTGTTGCAGCGGTGGCGTTGCACGCGGTTGACTACCATGGATAGAAACTGAACGGTAAGTGGCTGCTGTAATAGATTGATGATCAGGATTCCCTTCCCGGGCGCCTGTATTCGTTGAGGCTCTGGGTTGACAGCAGATACGTGATATCCCCAGATACGGGCAAATCGCTCCCGGGACTGATCATCGTCAGGATCCAAGTCTGGGTGGCCATTCAACCAATACAGGCCATGGTGGTGACTGGACCCCCTACCCTGCCACTCGTAGCGACCCCAAAAGTCCGTCAGGTTAAACTTCTGCTTCAGCACAATGGTTCTAAAAAGCGTATACCGCTTATGAAAGTGGTAAGCGGCGATGTGGGCGTTGTCTCGCAGTAGTTGCCGGGACAGGGCCATCCGGGCCGCCTCAG